TGCTGTGGGAAGCACGTCATCGCCTTCAGTATCATTTTTGTTGAATCTCTCTGGTTCTTTTTTTTTTGCATTCCTTCTAAAGCTCTTTTTCTACCACACTCAATGGACAAGGGGGCGGGGGGGGGGGGCTCGAGTGAAGCTTGCTTTCCCTACAGTACGCGTGCACTGTGCGCGCAAAAAGTTTCGTTTTTATCTTTTCCATGCTTACTCAATCATTTGTGCGCAGCTTCACCAATCACGCAAGTGCAGGCTAATTAATAACTCATGCGCGAATCAGTTTGGCAGATAAGGTCAAAGTTCTTAGATACGGCTGCTATGCGGAAAACTCCCGTGACACCTAATGCATGTCTACATACTTTTGGAGCGCTTTGGTATTGCTAACATTTAAGAAATATATGAAAATTGTGTACGAAATGAGTATATGTTCCAAAAGAATTTTACGGGCACCATGAAATTATTCCAGTTGCGTACGCAAGATTAGTGCACGATAGCACATCGCATAGCTATACCGCATAATCTACCGCATTCTACTGCAATTTATTGCATATAACTCCGGCACCGCTAATTAAGAAATTCCCTTTGGCTATGGTGCATAGCCGAAGGGGCACCAACACATATCCGTCAGTGCACTTATTGCTAATTCCATTCCCTCCTCTCTGCCTCATCTTTCATTATTCTTGTCTCAGTGCCGTAGCCAAGACGCCACGGCACCTGCAGAGGCTGTCTGCATGCGCACAGCTGCTTTCACCGATGCATATTCCTTTAACCAGCGACACGCGTTAGTAGAGAGGTGACAAGAACGAAACGCTTGCCAAGTTCGATATACGTATCATGGGTTTGCCTGGAAGTGACCGTGCGTGAGGACGGGCCTTCCCAAAGTATTCGGGAAGACGTGTAGTTGACGTAGATTGGCTCTTGGCACAAGCAGTTGCGGCGATATTTGGTTCGCCGTGCAATGCTGCGTTGACGTAGCAGTTTAGCTTCATTAAAATAAGCTAATAAGAACATCTTTGAGAACAAGTGAAAAAGGCGAGCATAAAATCGGGAAGTGACCCAAATCATTGACATAGCCATCTGATAGAGGCACTCTCACGTCATCGTTTGTGTACCGGGATATATTTCTTGAATTTGGTCATTTTTCGCATGCAGCGTAGCGAAGTTCAGGAACCACGTGTAATGAACCTCGTGGTTGAAACCAGTGACAAACGTACTGCTGCGCGCGTTTACGGGAAATTGGTGCCGCCACACTATCGACTCTATCGGCGCAAAGGCCACCACAGTCATCAATCTCTATGCTAGCTTCTCAACGACGAGAGAGAATAAAGATGAAAGAAAGGCAGGGAGATTAACCATGGCTGAGCGTGCTAAAGGCTACCTTATACTGGGACCCTGGGGGGAATGCGCCCGCATGCCACGCCTTCCATTCGCTTTACACCTCTTGGACCTTTTCTTTTTTTTAAAGACGATTCTTTCTTGGGTACCTTCGACGCAAAAATTTTGGTCTGTCTGTCTGTCTGTCTGTCTGTCTGTCTGTCTGTACACTTGGCTGTTTGTCCGCTCTTTATGGTTGTATAAACGGCACCAAATTGACCAAACGATACTCCAAACAGCCGACCCCATCCGCAGTGCCCACCAATATTACTCAAGATTCAGCGTACATACTTGCGTGATTGTCAATTAAAAATCAATTATTGCGCATATCTGAGACACCATAACAATACGTCAATATTATATATGTGTGTCTCTTACTAGAAAAGGCATACATAATTATAAGGACCATAGCGTTTATCACGTTGCGCTGACCAGGCAACGCTTGCACGAAAAGGCAAGTGTTTCCTACACTTTGCTAAGACGACATGGTGGTGACACCTACCCGTCGCCTTGCGTTCTACACCTCATCACCTCTGAGACGGGCGCGCAGGGCGCACCCGCTTCAGTTTTCTAAGATAACTGCCAGATGGCGCTCATGTCTCACGTGTGACGTGACTTGATCCGCTCGCTCGCCTTCGCTGTACGCTCGAGGCACTCTAATACAGCGCCTCCAAAATACCATTCACTGATTTTCTTGCGCAGAGCATCAAATAAACATTTTGTTCACTCTCTCCAGGCGCAAGACTATCGTCTTTCGACGACATTTGCAGCGTAACATGCAGATACAGGGCCATTTTTTTCTTTTGTTTTTTTCAGTTGGCGTGGAGCTAATATTTACAAAGCCATTTACATTCGATGGAGATATCTGATTGGTAGCTCGTCCCAATAATCTTTCCGCTGATCGCGTGTCCTCGTGCGCTGTTTTCGAAAGCGCACGGTTTTGCAAAGTTGCCGTGAGATGTGAAAGCAAAAAGCGCCTTATTAAAACAAAAACAAAAACATAACGACGTGAGAGGATAACGTCCACAACAGCATAATAATCATCCAGTGCGCAGTAAACGAGCCTTACGTACTTTAACAACTCTTTTTGTACACCATTGGTACACGTTGTGATTTTTTATTGTTTGTTCTGCGGCATGCTTCCTACGCAGATGTCCATGCCTTGGTTCTTTCCCAAGCGATGAAACATGCCATTGCGAAAGGGGTTGTGATACCAGTGGGTAAATAAATGAGTGGAGCAAAGCAGTACTGCGTTACACAAACCGTGCAGAAGCAACGTGGTTTCGTTATCTGACGCGTGTTTGGGATCGCGGAGAGAAATACATTGGTGGTGTAGTGCAAATATAACTTTGGAGGAATTTGCGCATCGAAACCACGATATCATTCTGTGGGGCACCGTACAGGAGGGTTACAGATAATTTCACCATATAACGTTTTTAACGTGCAACGCGACCGCCTAAGCTGGTATCGAACCCGCAACCTTCAGTTCAACAGCCGAGAACCGCAACTACTATACCACTACAGTGGACCAAGGTGTAATAAAATGGAAGGTTGTTTTATAGGTGTGGCAGTCACAGCTTCTAGGCAATGAACATTTTTTTCTGAACGCCTGCCTGGGATCTGAAGCACACGTCAACAGTTCGGCTTTGAGAAGCGGTCCGTTTCTTGCAGCTGCCGTCTGGAGATTTTCATCACGTTCACAGTCATCACGTTCACGCCGTTGTGCCTGCGACGCCGCTTCTTCGGCGCGTCGTTGTTTCAATTGTATGACATCGCGAGCTAACTCGGCGCTGTCTTTTGCAGGATCCACCCGCCACCGGCGCTTGCATTCCGGTTCACAATTTAGCGCACCTTGGACGGCTGCCAGATCATTAACACAGAAATGCTGCCGGCGTTCGGCCTCCCAGGCCTGTTTTTGTGCCATGACTGCAGCATTGGCTCGGCGATTGCGAGCTTTTTTACGTTCCCACTGTCGGCGCTGTTCTAAAGTTGTCCGCTCTTCGGGAGTTCGTAAGATCCGTGGCTTACCCATGTCGAAGCTCTACTGATGCGCGTACGCTCGGAGTCACGGCTGCGACGAGATGGATGACGTCACTCAAACAGCAGCTGATGGCGCGTTTGCTTGGGTATGGCGCTGAGAATAACGTAACTTATAGCACAGCCAATGAAGATCACTCGTGACACCGATGCCGAATGTTTTTTTTTCTTTCTCTTAGCCATAAACAGCTTTCGCTGTAAAATCCACAACAACCTATTCCAAGACCTGCCACCTCACAAGATCGACGGCGACGAAGCTCAGAGTTCTTCATGTCACAGCGCTTCGTGCCCACTTGGTCGATGAACCTCAGATGGCGAAAATAAATACGGCATTTATCATAACCAATATGCCCACAGAATTTGCCCAAGTTCTGTAGGCATATTCCACTACACACCACTTCATACCCGTTCAAGCTGATGACAGCTTTGGGGCAGGGTCGACATTACCGCCTGCTTAAGACATCTTTGCTGTTAAAAAAAGGGATCTGATTATGTGTCCTCGCTGACCAAGGTGTGGTAGTGATGTAGAAAGAGACGAAACACATAGTGGCATATGAACATATATACACTTCTGATATGCCAAAGCAGTGTCAAGGTGACCCGACCTTCAGGCTATGTAATGTATGAGTAGAAGTTCTAGTTGACATTGTTCGATATTGTCCGCGCAATTATCACAAAGACGAAACAATGCCTTTCGTCCCATGGCAAGATTTCTATCAACGTCAATTGTTGTCTGTCTGAAGGATATAGCACGAGACCTCACCGATAGGGCCCTACTGTTATCGATGGCCGTCTTTCCAGGAAGTGCTTGCTTCTTTTCCTGAGCAGAGTGGCCATTATCTCAGAGCAGATTATGGAGTGCGTTCTACACACGTGTGGTGGGTGGGTGTCATAATACATGCATGCGGCCTGGCATCCTATTACTCTGCTGGATAACGACAGGGCAATGTTCGGCTGACAAGTGTCGGATGCCATGGTTGACGCGCTTGACTTAGTTATCATTGGGCAGTATATATATATATATATATATATATATATATATATATATATATATATATATATATATATATATATATATGTGTGTGTGTGTGTGTGTGTGTGTGTGTGTGTGTTTGCGCAAGGAGCTGATGAACGGATCAGCGAAAAGGGCTGCTTTCCGGCAGCTGTTTCTGTGTTATCTGTGTTCTGTGTTATGACTGCATTATCGGGCCTCTGATAATGCAGAGGGGAGAAAGAGTGAAGGTCGGACAGGGAGAAGGGGTAGTTCGCGTAGGCGCTATATGTTTTCCATACATACGTTTGCCATATATTTCTGTAAAATAATTACTGAAGGGTATAAAATTATCGAAATGGCACACACAACATTTCAATAATGATTAAAACTAGAGAGACAAAAAGGTTAAGAGGAAGGGAAGGAGGTTAACCAGAAGGTTGCTTTCGGTATGCACCCTGCATATGGGGTTGGAGAATAGGGTATTGAAAGAAAGAGAAATATGTTTGTCACAGGTTCGTTGACCTAAAAATTGACTACGACAAGTAAATCATCGAATCACCACAAAAGATAATAACGGGGTTCACTGAATTGGATTTACCTGCAGGCAGCTGGGAACCGTCCAACGTCAGCCATTTGCAGATGACGCAAGCGGTGGTGATGTGCCTCGAGTACGCGTCCATGCATCCAGCGGCTCAGACGGCGGGTGTCGCTCTAGTGAGCGATTTCGAAGGTTGGTCCTACGGCAAGATGCGCCACTTCGACATCGGTGTCACCAAGGAGTACCTGTATTACCTGCAGGTAATAAAACGCCATACAATGTTATATTGACTAGATTTTCATTGTCAGACATCGTTTGCTTACCTCTTTAAAAGAGGTGCTGCAAAACTTTTTTCAGTATGATCATTAGAGGCTCCTGAGAACGCGCGAGCCAAACATTATAGTGCAGGACGTGGTCTGGTATTTACAACTAATTCTCAAAGTGAGCTAGAAACCGTTCCCCCCTTCTCTCGACAAATGGTGTCGTAAAACAAAGGTCAACGGCCATTGGCTGGTTTGAGCATCGTGGGCCGCTTAGTAACCGCCGCGGGCTGTGGTCACGTGCCTGGACGCTTTCTCGCGATCACACTGAAAGCCGCGCGTTCGAAGAAAAAGAAAAGAAAGCACAGTGTTCATGACCAGGACGCGTGGCCAGTTGTCATCCTCCTCCCTCTGTATCTTTCAGCACGTTCACTAGTACGAAAAGAGAAGAAAAAGCGCTTGCAGCGAACGAAAAATCCCCGTAACCTTGCTCGTACTTGATAGATTCTGGTAAATTTTATGGCAGTCGATTCTAGAGGCAATAAACTCCTTTAATGAAGCCATTGGACGATTACTCGAAAAGGTGCTGCAGGACATTTTTAATTATATATATATTCCTAGACGGAATAGCCGAAATGCTCACGGTAGAGACCTAACAATAAGGAATATGGGGAATTTCGTTGCGAAAATGAAACTTCAGGGGTGCAAAGATTCCTATAGTGAGTGATGGCGGTTGAGCTCTGGAGTCCGAGAGTGCCCTTGGATTATTTATTGCTTAAAACACTTAAAGTTTTCTGGCACTTAAATTTCGCTGTCTCTTTGTCCAGACCAGGAGGAATTGCCCAGTACTAGTAACAATTCCTGGTCCGGCTACGCAAGCAGCAGCCAGCAACCTAGATAGTATTACGGGAATGGAGAAAGTGTGCAATATTACGCTTTGACTAGCTCACAACTTTCAAGATACAAATGGGGTCATCCGTCACGGTAACAGTGAAAAAGCTAGCCCCCACGACGAGCACCCAGGTGGCATAGGACAGACCGACAACATGTGGGTTCTCAATAAAGCTTTACCGCCAGCACCACCTTACGCCATGATTGCGTCATGAGGCAACCATCAGGACGCAGTATATAGCTGAGCAGAGTGAAACCGGGTCTGATTCCTGAAAAGTATTACTAAATTTTTCCAGGGTCCTCTGATGCTCGTAATTCATTTCTTTAGAGGCTGAGGGTACGTGGTGCTTCATTTGACGCAAAAGCTTGCTACTTCTAAGGTATTTTTTTTAAAGGGCTTTTATAAAATGAGTGTTGTTCAACTGGAGAGGAACGGCTATTGCATTCAATGCACGTTACGCAAATGGCCCACTTTGCTATTCGAAAGCATCACCACGCAATCGGTGCATTGAAATGCAGATATCACAATTTTTCATTATTTATACCTGTGATCGTCGATATCTGACGTTTCCTTTTCGCTCCCTTTTTTTACAGAATTGCGCACCACTCATACCAAATGAAGCTCACGTGATCCGACAGCCATCGGCCTTCAGTCTCTTGTTCGCGCTTATGCGACCATTCATGAAGGACGAGACAATCGAATCGGTGACTACCTCTTCGTATTCGACCCTATCTCACACACTTAATTTTTTAAAAGAGGAAATACTATGAAGTGCATCGATGACACTTTGAATGACAGAGTGCTTGCTTCAAAAATAACGTGTATATAGTGTGTCGTATTCTTGTCATAAGTTGCGAAGTACCTTACGGGTTATAGATCTGTCGGCGTGTCATGTCGTCATGGTGTGTCGTGTAGTACGGCCCACCATGAAAACGGGTAGGAGCCACGAACATTATGTAAATTCGGCTACTCGTCATCGGTCCACTAAAGACAAAGGCAACAGTTAAGCAAACAAATACCCATAACGCTATAGTGTAGTATAGAAACATCCTTACCTACATGCCTGGTTTCAGGTTTGGGCATATAATCAGGATTGCTGTTATGCAGGTTTGAAGAAGAGCCAAAACTCAAGCGAAAAGTAACCACTTCCGCCAACTGAATATAGCGCCAAATTTGTAGCCAAACAAAAAAGCAATATAATGTATAATATTCATCGGTAAATACTATTAATTTGAATAACTGAAATACACTATAATGAGCACAATAATTTTTTCAGTTGTTTGGTCTACAAACCACAATTAAATTGCAATACAGTGAAGAAGGATTATGCTTTCAGTACTTCTGCATGCAGTACGTCTACAATAAAGTTCTTACAAAAGTAATTTAGTGCTAACAGCTCAGAAGAACATTTAAATTTTAGAGCTGTCTTTTTCTTGAAGTCGTGGACCACGCAAAAGTGGTAATTTTTATTTATTTATTTATTTATTTCGAAATACTGCCGATTTTCTCAGTATAAGCAGGAGTGGTCGTGCATAAAATTGTTAGAATTCTGTCAAAAGTGACGAACACGTTCCAAAGGAACAGGTAAATGCTGGATGGCATGTTCACAACAGTTTCAAAGATAGTGTTTAGATCACATGCGATTACAATACAAAAATGTAATACACTAATTAGACGAAAAAAATATCGCAGATTTTTTGACTAATGGATTCTACCGTTTCACAGTTCACCGCCGATAATGATAGACTATTTCAGTATGCCATTGATGATGGAAAAACAAAGATTTCATGAATGTCGTTGATACATTTAGGCAACAGTATTTTCTTGTTGTGGTTAGTTCTTGAGGAGTGTCTGAGGTGTTCAAGAAGATGAAGGGCCCTTGAGAGCGAAAGCTTTGTTTGCAACTTCCTTACAGTAATTTGTATCTTTGTGTCTGGTAAGCCGAAAGTGAATCGTAAATGACCGAACGCGTCGTATAAATAATGCTAGCGTCGTCAACTAAAACAGTATTGGGTCACTTTGAACGCCCGCATAAACATCATAACAAACGGGTGCCCGCCAGCAATGGAAGGCCTGGTACTTCTCAAGCTGCTGTTATGTTGAACGCACCGTTGAAGCTGCTGCTATGTTGGACTCGCGCACGGTGAAGCATGAAACGGTGTTCGGGCTGTGAGCGTGTCCCTCAAAAAAGAGAACATCATTTCTGGTTTAAGCAGCCAGAACCACTTTGGGAGCAGCCCGAAAACGGAGCGAGAGGGGTGACGAACAATCGTCCTCGCCAGGTGCCAGTCGGTGCGCGTCTCGCAATTGTTGTCTTACGTCGACAATACTCTACTTAGTCGTGGAACGCCACACGGGGCCTCGGTCTACGTCATATCCGTGGTGATGTTGTGGGGTGCGGCTAACTCATTTGAGCACTGACACTTACAATAACAACAAATTATGATATGTTAATGCTAAAATCCAGCGCTAATAATCGGCAAGAAGTGCCTCCGCGTACAAGACAATTGAACGAAGAAAAACATCCTGAGGTTTCTTGGGTGTCAGGGGTCCTTTGGTACAAATCGACAATATTACAAGTTCAGCTTCAAGAAGAAAAATCTGATCGAATATGAACAGTCCAGCTTCATTTTGTTGCTGATATCTCTTTGACGCCGCTGTGTTTTTTAATGAGAATCTTAGGTCAGCGCTGCGCTATACAGTCCCGCGTTCCCTCACATGAACACATCCTACACAAAAGGACGCTCGTTCGGCGTCCTTTTGTGTAGCACGCTGACGAGGCAAGAACGTGCGTGCGCATAAGCCAACACTACAGAAAAGCTTGCGAATAATTGTTGTACTTTATGCTTGTTTACTGTTTATCTTCAAATATTACGAAAAAATTACAAGTAGGTGGACCAAAATGGAAGTTCCAAGTAGCTAGTAAGTAGCCATGGCACCAACCTGAAGTTTTTCTACCAGACAGGATCAAAAAGTAGCTTATGCCACTTGTGCCTCATCGGGGAAATTTCTCTCAAAACGCTGCTGGCTTCACCCCTCCTCAAGTTTCACGTAAGCGGAAGTGAAACACCCAACTCTATACATGCTTCAGCCCTGCCCAGTTTTTTTTTATTCTCTGATGATTTGCTTAAAGGTAAAAACGAGAAAGTATATATATATATATATATATATATATATATATATATATATATATATATATATATATATATATATATATATATATATATATATATATATTCTTTACCTGTTATTGTGCAGGCTAAGAATACATGTGATTGGATTGGTGGGAATACCCTGCAACACAACCAGATCGAGCACGGATAATTTTCAGATAGACTTCTATACGCGTGCACTATTATGCCGGGCTCTTTTGATGGTGTGTCTTTACTTGGGTGTTCACGTCACAAAAACTTGTGTGAGCTCCACGGGATGGCTCTGTGCTCTCCATAGTGGTGTCATAGAACAGCGTTGTGTGTGTGTTTCTTCTCTAAATGTTCCGTTCTTTTGCGCTGGTAAAGCTGTCTAAATAATCAAGAACCAACTCGCCCAAGCAGCAGTTTTAGCGTCCGTACATGCCCGGTTTCAGACTTAATTGGCATCACTAGTGTCTCGATTTTCAAAGAAATATCTCCCAAAACACTGAATACTTCGCCCCTCCCCAGGTTTGACGAAACTTAAACACACTTTCCTACACGCTTCGTTTTTCCCAAGTTATTAGGAGCGAAGCTCCTTAGGCTCTCGCAATTTCGGTTGACGCCGTTGTCGTCGCTTACTGTCGGACCGACACACAGGTGATACCCATACCACACACAGAGCGTTCATTGCGAGCATATATGTTCAATGTTAACCGTACTTTATGCATCAGTTCATACGTCCGCCCGTCCGTGCATCTGCCCCGGCTTTATAGTTGGATTAATGCAACGTACACATTATGGACCTTGGGACCTAGTTTCGCTCCATCATCAGCATTCGCTTCATGGATCCGCGGAAATTTCCTAGCATGCATTTCTTTATTGCACTGACAAAGTACTGATACATTATTTTTTCAGCGTTCAAGCACACAGCGGTGACTAAGCTTGCAAGCTTGGAAAGTAAATTAGCGTTATAGGGAACGACTTCATCAGCGAATAAGAAAGTTGGGGGCACCACATGGTAAAAATATGGACCATTCTCCTCGAAGAGAACCTGATGGAATGCGAAGCAGCAGCAGGTGCGCACGGCGTTGACCCGGCTGAAACGGGCGTCCACGCGGGTGCTGGAAGAACGGTTTGAAGCAAAAGTAGGTGTAGCGATTACTCGCCTGAACGTTTGTTTGAAACGCAACTTACATGGAAGGCGGGTTGGGTTTCCTGTAAGTTTCATCGCAGAAAGACTGTGCGCTCGATGTGCGCTCGAACGTTGCTAGTGGTGGGGAGGGTGAAGCGAGTGAGATGACACGCAGCGAGCGTCAACAGGCTATAGGGAGAGAGTGAGTACTGCGAGGGAACGCGTGACCTACTTGGTACAGCCCCAACACCGGCGACCAGGGGAGCACGGTGCGGACGGAGGGACAGCGTTACACAGGCTAGTAAAAGAGCTGCTTCGCATCTGAAATTGTGGTCGATGTACATAATGCACTTGCGTCCTGTATTTTGCGCAACGTAGACACCAGTGAAAGTCCTCAGCTGATGCAAGTTCTGCGTATTGAGGAAAGTGCCGCCCACCTGATATTGAAATTAATCTAACCATGACGAGGTAATCAGTGGAATTTGGCTTGAAGTAAAACTCTACAACACTAGTAAAAATGTTACAGTTTCACCGGAGGGGTGAAGCGAATATTGCAATAGCAATAAATTTCGATGTTATGCGGAGTGAGGCTGGCCGATAACTGTTTTCGATCTAATCTCACGCAGCTCTGCAAAATGGTGGTGCAAGAGAATACGGTCGCTCCAGGGACATTTCTCGCACACTCTTCGCGTTAAGATAGCAGTGCGTAGAAGGGTATACGAGTCACTCGCTGATGGATGCCGAGATAGCATGATAGCGCGGGCTAGCGATGGCGACCGGGCCGGTAAAATAAAAGTTCACAGTTGCTGCTGGTGCAACGCCTCCTTCCCTCGCGTCTTTTCATGCTTCATAATGGCGTGAAAGTAGCGAAAAAAGACGAAAACAAGAAAGTGAACACCACAAGCGCTTACTCACATATGAAAGCTTTATTGCTTGAACAGAATATATATATATATATATATATATATATATATATATATATATATATATATATATATATATATATATATATATATACTTCACGCTTGACTAAATATGGATTAGTACCAACTAACTCGCATCTTCGTTTTGCTTTACTTTTCATGCTTGTCAAAGACAGTAAAAGCGTTTCCTCTCCGTTTGAGCATTCGATGGCTGATCTAACAGGCGGGGGGGGGATCTTATCTCATGCATCTTGCGAATGGTGGAGATGAGCCGGCTGGTGTCACCTCTGCTTCATGCGCTTTCATAGCCTCCGCTCACGCGGTCCCGAGGGAAGAACGTATGATGCGCTGGCGAATCTTCTCAGTTTAGATTTTATGCGGGACATGACGGTGACGCCGACAGCAAAAAAAAACCCGTAGAGACTGTGTATATAGTTGCTATTGCAATATTATGATGATATGGGCTGTAGTGCATCAAACCAGGGGCCTCATTCCGATCAGCTCATTGGAAGCACAGGCAGTGAAATCTAATGCGGTTTATTTTTGTCTTTACAGATAACTTTCCACGGGAAGCACATTGATAAGCTTTACGCCGAAATTCCTCAAAGCATGCTTCCTGCAAACTATGGAGGCACAGCACCGAACACAGACTGGGACTTATTTTGGACAAACGTATGCCAGGAGCACACCGGAAGCAAAGCTACTCGGCAGCTGTAGAAGTCAACGTAACTTTTTATGGAGGTGATCTCTGCGCTATGTTGTTAAGCTGCAGGTGTGCCCAAATGACACCTGTTTTAACCTGCGCGGGCGTTTGTGGACATGTTCGTCTTCTTCAGAAGAGAGAGAAAACAATTAGCCAAATGTGCGTTTGGTTTGTACCACTGCTTTGTGGGGCGAAGCACACTTGGGAATAAACGATTTTACCAACGTCTTAGATATCTAATGAGGAAGTGAATCTGGCTTAGCATTAAGGGGAGTATACATAGTAGTGAATCTCGCCTATTACACGTATGGTTGAAAAATCCTCAGAACGCGGGGAGTCCGCTAAAGTTAACGTTTTCGAGAAGTCGACTTGCTCTCTTCAAGATTGCAGCCTTCAAAAAGGCAAGTCCGCTTACGGAAACGCTCGATCTAGTGACAGACCCCATCCCAAAAATTTTTATTACGATTACATATTTTCTTAGCTTCTACATTGCAACATGTTTGTGCTAAAAATTTTAAGGCTCAAATGTTCCTGCGTAACATTTGAGGACGGAGGGGCAGGGTGATGGCACAGTATGCCAGGGAGGATGTACTCTGTATCCGCCAGATGATTTGATGAATGTTCCTGGATGCTTATAGCTAAAGCAATGACTTCGGCAGATTTACATCATTAGCCGATCAAAAAACTAAAAACACAGTGAACAAGCTGATTGCTACGAAGAATGCCTATACCGCTTCAATGTATACTGCCGATTGTGAGACAGAAATTTTGTCATTTATGTAAATTTCGAACTCCTGTATTAAAGTTTCTGATTGCGCGAATCTCCCAAAGCCATCACTTCGCCTGTACTTCTTGTTGGTTGCTTTAGTGTTACAAAACAGTTCGCTACAGGCCCCAATTTACAGGGAAAAAGGGTATCCGGCTGTAATAATTACTGTCTTTGGCCTAGTCAAATGACCCGTTACTGCCTGAGCAGCGTTAAGCTTCAGTTCATACCAGTAGATCATGTAAATGCATGACATTGCTTCTATATAAGGTAATGCAATCTTGTTATGACAACATTTAGTCATGCCTACTTACAGTAAAGAATTGGACAATACGAAGACAAACAGGGATGACACATTTCAAAAGAGTACGTCTACTTAGGACAGGTAGTAAACACGGAGCTGAACCACGAGATTGCAGTAACTAGAAGAATAAGAATGGAGTGGAGCACATTCGGCAAGCATTCTCAAATCATGAATGGCAGATTGCCACTATTCTTCAAAAGGAAGGTATATAACAGCTGCATCTTACCGGTACTTACCTACGAACCAAAAACCTGGAGGTTTCCAAAGAGTGTTCTACTTAAGTTCAGGACGACGAAGCGAGCAATGGAAAAGAAAATGATAGGTGTAACCCTAAGGGACAAGAAGAGGGCAGAAGTGTATCGGGGAACAACTGGGTTTTAAGGACATGATAGCTGAAATCAAGAAAAAAAAATCATGGGTAGAGCACGTATCGTAAAGGCAAGATAACCACTGTTCATTAAGTATCACAAACTGGATTTCAAGAGAAGGCAAGTGGGTGAAGGGAAGACAGAAAGTTAGGTGGGAAATTAGATTAGCAAGCTTACGATTATAAAGTGGCAGCAGCAAGAACAGGACCGAGTGTACTGGTGGAACATGGGAGAGGCCCTTGTCTTGCAGCAGGCGTAATCAGGCTGATTAGGACAAAGATGGTATGGGAAGGAAGAATCATTTTCTGTTTTTGACAACATGTGACGATAAAGCCACACCGTTTCTCTTCCCGCCCTTAAAGAAAGAGAAGAACGAGAGTAACTGTATCGTAACGAAATGCAGCCCTTAGAAGTTGGTTGCTCCGGTCACCCCGCTTCTATCGCCCCTCGCTATCTGAATAAAGAGATCACCTTATCCAGCGATGCGGTCCTTCGGAAAAAAAAATCCGTACTCACAAGTCAGCCAAGCCGTTATTAGAAAGACTGACCTGCTTTGTGACTCTCACCACATGTCGCTGCGCACTGATCAGTAAACACTGAAATCTCTCATAGGTGGCGGCGCTGTTTACGCTCGCTTGCGTGTTCACGTAAACAAGGTCATCAAAACCGGCGGCGGGCCACTTTCGCTGCTGGCAAAGGAGTGCCTTTGGCGGCGACTTCTATCTCCGCTAGCTCACGCTCGGCGTAAGGCGAAGCCTAGTGAGGAAGCTGCGTACATCAGTGGCGACGTGGTGCTTTTTTTTCCCCCAAAAGCCTGCTTTACGTTCATTGAGCCGGTTTTCTTTCTGTTGCTGTTGCCGTATCGTCGATGCTTGTAGTGTGTGCCAAGAGCAAGTGCGGTGCGCGTGAGTGTGATGAGGGTTACGTTTTGAACGTAGTAGTTGTACATACGGATTAAGCACGTGCGAAGCCATTCGTTTCAACGGATCAAGTCATCACACGAGTGCATGGGCGCACATGAACGGCGCCTGTGAAGTGCTGGGATTACGCTACACAGTGAGTCTGTTTTGGTGATCGCACGTCGCGTGAGGCACGCGTCGTCCATTCGTATTTGGCGAAGTGCCACGCATCGTACGGAGCGTCATCTGGTTTCCTTGAGGATGAGATTAAGTATTGCTGTTTTGAAGATCGCTGCTGCCTCTTGTTGTAAGTATACGTAACCTGATGTGATGTGCGGTGGCGCTCTACTGAAAAGCGTTATGAAAGCCACGAAAGTCTCTCATCTAAATGACTGAAGCCAGTGAAGGTAAAAAACTTTCACAATCAAGGCATCGTTGTTACCAATTGCAAATTCACAACTAATAGAGAGAAGCTTCTTATATTCAAATAACTTTGCACTTAATTTTACATCACTAACATTTAAGACGTTGTTGAATCATGTAATATGTTGATTTTTAAAGTTTACGTCCCAAAACCACGATATGATTACGAAGGACGCCTTAGTGGAGAGAGAGAGATAAAAATGCAAGGAAAGGCAGACTCCGAAATATTTACGATCTAGTGTTCCTTAACTTGCACTTAAATCTAAGCACACGGGCATCTGGCATTTTGCCGCCATCAAACTGCGTCTCAGCTTGGGTTTGATTTCGCGACTTTCAGGTCATCAGGTGAGCATGCACTGTAATCACAACACCACCGTGGCGGGTTTCTAACCAGAATGAACATCACCTGTGTTTTACTTTAACTTTATTATCTGTTTGTTGCGTATGGCTGTGTCTTAAGAAATGGTCGACGAACTTTCCTTTGTTCTTTCAATTAATGAAATACTGAAATGACGTTCAAACAAAATCAGGCGCAGTTTATTACATGTCGCTACCTTTATTCCACCTGATTACATGAAATCCTTTTGTGTGTTCACGAAAAATAGTAAAATATTAACGAGGTGGAAAGTTAGATCCACCTGGCCGGGGAATGACAATAACGAAGAAAGCCCGTATGGTGGACCAAAGTAAAAATATATTCCTAAAACGACGTTTTGTCTCCCACACAGGGCCTTGTTCGCAATTTAGAATGAACAGCAAGTTCACCTAATTATTTGGGTGCACGATAAAGATCCCTAGGTGGTCGAAATTTCCGAAGCCTTCCACTATGGCGTCTCTGATAATCATACGGTGGTTTTGAGACGTTAAACTTCACGTATTAATCAATCGAAATAAGATCATCTAATCACACAACCGAGGCAACGCGCATGCGCTGGCGGTAGATCACCACAACACTTGCTTAGCGTGTGCGCAGTCGTTTAAATAAACAATAGGGAGTTTTAGAATAGCGCACCGCGAGCCCTTGCGGTGCGGTCGGTGCCACTGCGCATGCGTCGTAACGCGAGTCGGCGTTCACGTTCGCGGACCGCACGCAGAAAATCCGAAATTGCGTGCGGCGATCGCGGGTCGCATGGGGCCCGCAAGCGCTGGTTTCGAGGCTACGGTGTCGCTGCGATCCTGCGTTGCGGTTCGCAGCAGGGCAAACGCTATTCTAAAACTCTTACGGCGCCAGCAACGCCTGCGGCTCTTGCAAACGGTATTCTAAAACTCCCCAATCATTCTGTACAAAGCCATGGAAAGAATTTCTTTTCCGTGGGGAAGCATCTGCTCAAATTGATCACATGGCCCGTGGATATATGTTCGGCGATGGCATTTGACGTCACCTTTTTGTTTTGTTCTTACGCCATTCTAGTGCTCGCGTAACCTTCTCTTAAAATTGCCAGTCTCAGCAATATAAACATGTGTGCAATCTGCGCATGAGATTCATGCTCCATTGCGAACAAGGCTCCGGTGTTGAAGCAAAAACTTGTTTTAAGGATGTATCTTTACTTTGGTCGGCGCTCTGTTTTCTTCGTCCAAAATGCGAAAGACTTGGCACAGAGGACATCATGTGCCACACTTGTAACAGCTAATGCACTGTGATCCTATTGTGCTTGTGAGTTGGCTTGTGTATACTTTGCTCTGAAATGCTATTTTACGGTCCACTTGTGTTCCTGTTTCACATAATCCCTACCTAGCCTTGACGATCATGTGGAAAGGTTACTAACAATGCTTGTTGCATTTTGTTACATTGTGGTGGTAATGAATGACGTGCTATGGGCATCTCGCATTGACTTCTCGCTTTTTACGACTACAAAAAGCAAATATAGAATGCTACGGGAGCTTTCCAACTTGCTTAGGGTGCTCACTTGCAATCGGATAGTTTAACGGAGCCTCAGTGGGTGTGGTACTGCTTGCGTAGCTCAAATTACAACAGTTATGCCCTCGATGACCTTCAAGAAGTCTATCTACTTCTGCATAAAACTGACAAATAGGCGAAGGTGAGTGTAAAGCGTAATAAGTCATACTTTTGTATGACCTATTTGTTCATAATTGTATGCATTTTTTCTCATCTCATTCAAAGGTTTAACACAGTAAGGATGGCAGCAGCCAGCAAGAAAGATCAACAAGAGTTCGCAAAGACCCGAGTGGCTGAGGACGAGAACGGTTCAGAAATTGAAAAGAAAGAAAAAGAAGCAGTTTTACAACTTCGACAGCTTCTCAAAGGCAAATCATTTGTTTTGTTTTGTTTGTGTGGTTACCTTACTTGATATAGTCTGGGGTCTCTATGTGCAGTATGAATTGACATGGCATGAAAACAACAGAAAAACAAACGAACAAGGTATAAGTGAACGTTGTTCCTGTATGACGACACCGAATGAACATCAAAATCAAAGCTTATAGCTATAGCATTGACAACTGTAACCATGCAACCTGCGATTTGCGATCCTCGAAAACCACAGACACTAGTCCTCCTGCGTTCACACTCTTGTATGATCATGGAAAGTTTCTCAGCAAAACTTTTGGGGTTGATTCCTGACTGCTAGTGATTAATGGATAAGTGATAAGTGAAAGAAAATAATTCTTGAGGCTTATGTAATACCCCAAAGGTGACTTCATTTTGTAAGAGGACACCGTTTTTTTTCTAGCCTTGCAATGTGGTAACATGATAGCAAGATTATATATATATATATATATATATATATATATATATATATATATATATATATATATATATAATATATATATATATATATATATATATATATGTATATATATATATATATATATATATATATATATATATATATATATATATATATAATATATATATATATATATATAATAAGGGAAAGAAGTGTATACCTAAGGGCTCGTTTTTCCGTGTTTTGACACAATATTAATGAGATCTAACAGACAGTAATATATATATATATATATATATATATATATATATATATATATATATATATATATATATATATATATATATATATATATATATATATATGCTGATGAAGGCCGGTCCCCGGCTGAAACGTAGGAAAAAGAAAATTTTCCGTTTTGCCCGTCCTCCAACTTTTGGTATGTATATATATATATATATATATATATATATATATATATATATATATATATATATATATATATAGTCACATGCGCTAGCCGAATAAATCCATAATTCATGCGTTCTCTTAAATTTCAAAACAGCTGAATGAAGCACCCTTATTCTTCTCTGACATACATTACAGAGGAAACGAAACTGAACCCAAGAACCGATGACGAATTTCTGCTCCGCTTCGTTCGTGTTCGCAAGGGCGACGTCGACGCAGCACGAAGAACGGTTCGGAACTACTACAAGAACCGTGCAAGCTATCCGCAGTTTTATTCCAATTTTGTGCCGTCCAGTATCAACGCAGAAACCAGAAGGACCATGACAGTTTTACCTTCAAAAGACGTTTTTGGCCGGCCCGTGCTCCTACACAAGCCAGGTACACAGGAAATGTCTTGCTCGTTTCACTTTCCGCCTTTTCGATCCCTATGTTGGCTCACGTGATCTGCTGTACTGCCACCGGTTTAATCACTAATAAGAATAATATCTGGGGTTTTACATCTCTTAACCGCCTTATGAGAGACGCCGTAGTGGAGGGCTCAGGAAATTTTGCCAATCTGGTGCTCTTCAACGTGCACCTAATTAGCACAGTACACGATCCTCCTCTATACCAGTTCGCCTCCATCAGAATGCGACCGCCACAGACGGAATCGAACCGGCGACCTTCGAGTCAGCTGCCGAGCAACCTAGCTACGGTTACACCGAGGTGGACACGGTTAAATCACAATTATGTCTGTCTTCCTGATAAATTCATTCTTAACGTCAGTCTGATTCCAGCTTAGAGGGGCACATTGGAAGAACCCTAAATAAGTTCAGCAGTGTGGTTTTCTAGGCCAGTTGGGATACATGGGGACAAGTGGAGGGTTTTCGACGTGAGCAAAAATAGGAAGAAAAAGACGAACAGGACAAGGTGGAGATAAAATCGTAGTTTAATGAAAGATAGCATTCCTAAGAACACCACCACACATGCGTAAAAAACCAAGAGCAGAACTATGCTAACATTCAATCGGACAAGTCCCCCCTCCCGCAGTTTACTTTTCTCATTTTAACATAAGTAACATGCTTACTACATGATAAAATTACGGTTTCGTCAAAAACTTTTTTTTTTTGCTGATATACACCAATATTTGACAAAACTAACATTTCGCCATGTAGTGCACCTGTTAAGGTCCAGTTAAAATGATAGAACATGTGGGAGAGGGGGTGGAGCGTGTTTGATTGTAAGCTAGCACGATTATTCTGTTGGTTCTTTACTCACGCGTGGTGGCGCTCTAGGGAATACCATCGTTTAATAAACTTCACTTGTAAGCCGAACCTTGCCCTTTGCTTGCCTCTTCTTCCCATGCTCGCGCTGAATATACTTGCTGGAACCTTTGATTTGTCAACACTAAATTGGTTCATAAAATATGCTTCATAAACTTTAACTTTGTAAATTTCGTAATGATAGGTTGATTATCACAAGGGAGAGCTATCCATTTTCTTGGACTTCCTGCTGGAAACCTAACACCGGCTTGGCTTTATCATGTCACGCATTTTAAGATGTCTTTTTTCTTTTTTTTCCCCTTACTTGAGCAATGTAGGGCTCAGTATACGAGTTCTTTAAGGTTACCACGTTCAATGTAAGCCTGCCTTAGAACACAATAGCGCCCATTTATGGGCTATATACATAGCCGAAGTTAGCAAACAGTTTACATCAACATTACCATGCCGCTTTTAGTAGGCGTTGTTGGCATTCATGACGTCGCACGATGTTTTGTGTGAAGTTCGAACAGGCGTATTTGCTTGCTTTTCGATTCTGCAACTTTCCCGGCTTACAAAAGGCCTTGTTGTGGTATATAGGGGTTTTTCGTATCGTAAAAGGTAATTTAGAAACATCTATTGTCATTTCCCAATTTGTAACGAGTTCATTTAAACGAGCTAAATTTCAGGATCTCCTCTTTTATATTGCCACCAACATGCCCAACGGCATAAGTAAAAAGAAAAAGCTCCGTTACCCGTATGAAGGCCAGGAGTGGTTGATACAGCACCGTGCGTCCAGCGCGTTAAGTCACGTGGTCGGTTGGTGTGGTAGTGAAGGCCGCGTAGGTGCACATGGCGAGTGCGAGCTTGGCGAAGGCCCAGACAAAAGGTGATCGAGCAGTTCGTGGAATTTAGTCCGTTAAAACTTGATCAGCTAAAATGACAACTGAACGACCATCTCTATTTAGTCAGTTCCGTGAGTTGGGTGAGGTTTAGAGTTGCGCATGAGAGAGGGGAGCATATGTGTGCGCAAGGTTTTCACTTTGGGGAGAGGAAAGGGGGGAAAGCGGTGGCTAAGGTTCGTAGCAGTGACCCCTCTTCAACAAGTCAATGCGTCAGGCAGACTTCCCTCGCTTTCTTCTTTTGAGATTGGGAAGGAGGGGTCCCCTTCTTGCCCTCCATCCGCACGCCTATGAAGGAGAGGGTATAAATGGGTGCAGAAACACCTCGCAGCAAACTGGTTTCATTCGCAACGTCTTCGTTTTTTCTAAGTTATGGTGGCTACTATAGTTTTTACAAACGAAACGCTGCTGTCAGCGCCAAACCCGTTTGAAGTGCACCGCTTTCCGTGTACGAAACTGCTCTGAGTAGTCTCAGCATTCTGAACTATGCGTTGGCTCAACCAGATGGCGCGAGCTACTGCATTCCAGCCAAGTAGGTTAAAAAAAAAATTAAATCCCCTTGATCGCCGCTGAATTGAAGCATTGCTCCAGACACCTGCTATGCGCCAAGCGCGTCATGCAGGAAGAAAAACAGTCTTTCAAATTCATTCCATTTTCGATGCAGCCAAGTCATACAAAAGTAAAAAGTGTCACTGGCAAAAACAACATTTCTTTGTCCTCGCGTGAGTGTTTGAAGTGTTTTCTATAGATAAAATTATAGGACATATTGAAGTAATACATTTTTATAAGTGATTCTCGGGTCACATTGTATTTCTCAAATACAACGTTTAAGCAAACCCTCCTCCCCACTTCTCCTGGAATTTGCCGGCACTTAAGTTGCGTTGTGCGCGGGACTGCGCATTACTAAGACGTGTGTGGTACCGCGCGCGCGCCTGCCCTATATAACGACGGTGAAGACGACATCCTCGTAGCTTGCAGATCAAGTCGTCAATTGAGTTAGCTTTAATCTAAACAACACATGTTCCACTGTGTCACTAAAATCGTGTTCTTCTGTATTTGGGCACGTGTCAAATAAACAACGTTATTTTACACTAAGTTCCAAAGTCGAAAAGCTGTTTTATTACACGATCACTGAAGACCTACAGTTATGGTAAGACGCACGTACGCGAGTTTGCTGGAAACCATGTTCGTGACATTTAATTGTAATTCGCGAATAAAACATGTAAACTATAGGAGACGAGCATGTGTGAGAGCTTTCGGGAAGCCATGTTCCGCGATTTAAGCATTATTAGCACTTAAAGCTTCCTTGATGCAGGTTTACTGCCTTTGGACAGAGACGCTTACGATATGGGCCAGAAAGCGCTCTTCATATGCATCGAACGGATTGCAGCAGACCCCGTCTCACAAACTACCGGGATTTCCTTCATTGTGGATTCAGCGGGATTCAGCTTGGACAGGCTTTTCTACTGCAACTTAAATAACATTCGACGCACCCTGGACTACCTTCAGGTAATGTGACCGCTATAGCACCTGCGTTTTTGCAAGAAATACAAGTTGTAAGAAATACAAGTAGGGAGTGCGCCACTCTAATTTAATCTACGGGACTGACTCCCCGTCTGCGACGTTAAGCGCAAAACTGCCGCTACGTCGACGGCAATAGTGACTTTTCTCTCCGCCTCTTTCTATCTTTTCCCCCTTTCCCTTTTCCCAAGTGCAGGGTAGCCTACCGGATTCAGCAATGGTTATTACCTCCCTAACTTTCCTTCATCCCTATTATCTCTCTCTCAGTGATGTGTTTGTATCTTTTTTTTCTGCTCTGACATTGAGGGAAAGGTCTTGAGAAATTGAAGTTGTCGTGGCGACATGCATCTCCTGAAGCACGCCCCTTGAGATCACAAACACGCAAGATAAAACGAAGCATGCAGTGAATTTCACTAACACGCCACACGCTCGAAACACACCACTTAACACGCCGTAGCTGTCTTGTTGAAACCACATCACTCAGCAGGGCTAAAAAAGCCTTGTTTGCGCAGGATGCATAATTTGACTGTATGAGGCGGCTGGCTGCAATATGTGCGTCATGCACAGTGACAATCAGACATTTCGCTATACGATGAATTTTTGAAGTTTCGTACATACAGTTAAATTTAACGGCATAATACCGAACGGGCTGTATCTGATCAGACACACGAAGTTTGCTTACGTCCTATTTATCATCATGTTTTCAGTAGCCAGCGCTACTACAGAAAAACCAGTGGCGGTGAAGGTGTGATTACTGTTTGAAACAGCTTTATTCTGAATTCCTGATGAAGTGGTTAGTAAGACTGAAGTGTACTTATAGACGCTATTTATTATCTATGCCTCACTTGCAGGACTGCATGCCAATCAGGCTGAAGGCTTTGCACATTGTTCACGAGTCGAAGGCCATCGATTTCCTGTATGGCCTACTAAGGCCATTTTTGAGACGGAAGCTTACTGAGAGGGTAACTATGCTGTTTTTATTCGTGCCTAATGTTGTCTATTAGATATAGTAAAAAGCAGATTGCCCATTGCCGTGGTGAAACTGGCGCGATTGAGTCAGGGGCGCTAGTATGTGATACAAACTGCCACGCGTAATGTCACGCTGGATGTCCTTGGAGGAACCACTGAGACAGGCTCACACATGGCTGCCACTAAGTGGGAAAGGTGTAGCCTGTGGAAAGGGAACATATATTCACATGTTCGAATCCTCAGGTTTTAAAGGTCGCACTGAGAGGTTCGAGAAAATTATTTCGCGCACTTGTCATCAAAACTACGTGCGGGAAAAAGCAATTGATCCGAATTCAAAATTACTATGCCAATGTGATTGTGGAAGTGTTTAACTAGCTGTGCGAAAAATACAAATGCAATGTTATTGAGATAAATTTTAAATGCAGAAAATATCCATTGATTATTTTTTTAATATATGGCTTGCAGTTCACCTTCACAAAAGGCTAGGCACAGATTCTTTTCTCGTTGAGGGCCCCAAATGTTCATGAGTCCATCATTCTTTGAAACTTGGTCATGCTCAGGTGCACTAATTTTGCAGGAGCTTAACAACCCCTTCTAAAAAAGGCGACCAACGAACGATGTTGATGTCTGCAAGGAACTACATTAAAAAGCATGTTTGTCTTTCTGCTTTGGTTGGTGATCGCATGTCCACTGATGTTATAATGGTAATCGGCTGAACTCCGAGTGCTGCTACTGCTACATGCAAAGCCAGTAATGCCAAGCTAAAACCACCTGTAGTAACAACATTATCACCTCCACCACCACGAGTAACTACTAACACCACTGTGGCACAAGGAATACTCGTGAAAAGTTATGCCGGGCAAAAAAAAAAAAAACAACTGTCAGAAGTGAAGTGAAACAAGACTATAGGCCTGATTTCTCTGTAGGTAAAGATTGGTGGTTTTGTATCTGAAGTGCACGAATGCCCATGAAAAATATAGTGAATAACATCATATATTTCATTTATATACTTGTTCTTCTTTCATGCAATATGAAGGAAAATGAGAGGGTCATGTTTTGTTATTTCTAATTGATAAATAAATAAATTATATATATATATATATATATATATATATATATATATATATATATATATATATATATATACATATAATCTGCTATAGTAAGGTGTTATGCTTTCTCAAAGAGATCCCCTTGCATCATTGCAACTCCTCCTCTCTCTTTTTAAAACAGCTTCATTTTCATGGCAGTAATTATGAAAACCTGCTCAAGGAGATTCCGCCACAAAGACTGCCAAAGGAATGTGGAGGCAAGGCCGATGACTTAGACTTTGAGGGATTCTGGCGACAACTGGATCAAGAGGAAGCGCTTTTCGTGGATAACAATCGATTTGGTTACGTTGAAGACAATGCGCCACATAGTGTGCAGCGGTGATTTCAGGGAAGATTGCTACGGTGGTGCTCGCGCGTACTGCAACCGTGAAGGAAAACGCAGGAGCTCTTCAACTGCTCTATCAACTCGGGGATGAAGTCACATTTTGTCGCTCACTCGTTGGTGTAAGACGAAAGAACGTATCGTGGTTGGGGGTAGGACAGCGTTTGTAAGATTTTACAAGTTCAAATAAAATACCGAATGCCAAGAATCAATCGATCAATTATTCAATCAATCAATCAATCAATCAATTAATTGACCAATAAATAAATAAATAAATAAATAAATAAATAAATAAATAAATAAACAATATATATTCGCACATGTAAACGCTCATGCTCAAGACCGAGCCTCTGCTGAATGTAACTGTGCTATTGACAGGTGACGCTGTCACATGTATCAGTCGTTTTCCTGCAAAGAAGATTAGGTGCTTAACACTTTCACAAGAAATGATTTTTATATTGGCTAAGACTGGTCGCGAGGACCCAGGAAGTGACCCGAGCTCAAGGCGTCTCACCTCAGAATGCCTCTACTGAGATTTCTTCTTAAAAAAAGAGAGAGAGAGTTATTCTCTCTCTTGGACCAGATTATATAAAATGCGAACGGTACTACCACGACCTAAAGCATAAACAGAGGTATAGCATGGGAAAACACATCACCAACCATGGGGATTTGATTCGAATGGCAGTTTAACATTCACGTCATAAGGTTTGATTTAGCCAGCACTCTTCCAATGCCCCGTCCTCTCTTGAACGCTCTTGTGCAGCAGTGGCGCGAAAAATTGGGTGAGTACATCGGGGAACAATATTCATAAATATAAGATGAGAAAGAATGGAGAAAGACAGCAGATAAGGTAAAAGCAGGAATGCTGACCAGATGAGAAAAATCGGCGTGCTGTTCTATATTGGGGAAATGAATGGCGGAGTTTGAAAGTTGGAAGAGTGAAGCAAGTGGAAGACAGAAGGAGGTGGAGAAGGATACGCGAGGACGAACGCATACACGTCAAAGTCTGGTAGTCATGTACAGCGTACCGCATGAACGTTTCTCCACAGTCGCTCGTGCAAGTCTGTGCTATGGTGTGCTGTGCAAAGAATAAACAGGCCAATGTCAGCCACAACCATTCTGGATCATCGTCCTGAAAAGTCGCCAGGGATAAAGACGGCGAAAGCATTGCCAAAAAAAAAAAAGAGACCTGAACCCGTATGGGTATTATTACTGAAAATGTAAGTCTGCTATAGTGTTTTTGAAAAGTGGTAATAACACCTAAGTTTTAACTTGCCGCTACCCATTTTGAAGAAAAATGTGTGTCAGCCTTCTCTGTTTTTTTCGTTTGAGGTAAGTGTAAATATAAGTGATTGGTGTTTGCTGCCGGCATTATCATTTTATAAAATAAAACTATTGGAAGAAGAGAAACATATCCTTGCAGACACTTTAATAAATACAATAATGTAGCACTCATATGTGTCTTGTAAACACATTATTGGTTAAATATAATTATACGTCTAACTGCAGAAGTTGTTAGCTAAATATCATAGGGTCAACGAAGTATTGGTAGGGATATTAAAGAGATATTCAGGTGAGATATTTTCAGCAATGCAATATTTGCTGCGCTTCTGCACGCGGATAAAGATAGCCTTCGAAATGAAAAAAAAAAAACCACGTGAATAGACAGCAAGGTGTATTAAAAAAGAAGAGAATCTTGAAAAGGATCACTACAAGGTAGCCGAATCGAATAAGAAAAAAATAAAGAACTACAATTTTTATGCGATATTTTCAATATTGTTACGATGCGAAAATACAGACAACGAGTAAACGTGTAGTGCTAGCGCGTGGTGCTTCTTAGCCATTTTGGTTGGCTGACAATCCACTGGCGTCAACATCTGTTGCGTTCAAAAGTGTTGTGGCTCGGGAGAGTCGGTTATTCATGAATTTAGCTTTTATTAGCATGGCACACATGAAAAGGGGAAAAAAAAAGGAAAGACGGCAGAGACGCCAAGAAAGGTATAGGTGATAAAAGCGCAACCTAGTGCCTAGCTTTCTTGACGTCTGTGTCGTCTTTCCTTTTTTCCTTTTCATATTCACCGCGCAAATACAAGCTAAATATTTAACAAGTTTATATAAAATCTTGTTCTTATCTGTCGTTAAAACTAACACACTAATAGCTCACTGCTGAGAATGCCACGTTTTGTAGTCCCTTAGAATTCGTAGTCCCTTAGTCCCTTAGGCTGATTCATTGGTACTTTGATAATTAGGAAAGCACTTCTCGATTTAGCAATTATAATTATCAATTAATTTATGTTCTTATTAGCGAAAATTTCTGACAGACACTCTTCGGCAATGGGAACAATATTTACGAGGTCGTTTTGGCGTAATGTTGAAACTAACGTTGCTTCAGTTTATGCTAACGATCTTTACCGAGGATCTGTACGTAGCGCACGTAGTCTGAACATGGCTTTATTCATCTAAAAATTTTGTACATGGTGGTTGAGACCCCTGATTTCTCAGTGTTTGAGACATTGAGTATGACAGCACCAGGAGTAAATGCATTCTTAGAAGAGCTCTCTTCGTAACAGAGCAGGCGAATATTACAGGCTGAAGTTTAAAAGCAAGAGTGACACAGACACACACACACAATGCAGAATACATTGCCTGTCTCGCTCTCGGAAAATGTAGAAAGAGGTGCGCCCACTTGACTAATAGCAACAATTAAGTCATCGCCTTCAATATCCGTTCCTTTCCTTTTATATTCTTGTACTGTGTTTCAGTCATGCGTACCGACGACGCTATCAGGTCCTTTCTCTTCTGTACACCGCAAGCGAAAACACTCGTCTCATTAGTTTCGCATGAATACCCCGGTAATTATGACAAAATTGACAATACGTCAACTTGTTTATGAGCTAAGAACAAGACTCTTCGTGGCAGGGAGATACCGCGTTTTCGTACCTACACCCGCTTGCTTTTCTCCCAAGCGCTCACCGGAAAAAAAAAATTCCACTGCGGCACTTCACAAGTGCCTTTTGAAATAACACACTAGCCACCAGCTGAAGAAAACTGTAGAAAACCTTGTTCACGAAACTAATTACAAAGCTTGCTCGTTGTAGTTTCGTACGGGTTCTCTGTAAAGTCCCTCGACAGCTGACTGATTACATTTCATCAGGTTTGAATTGGCTATGATGCCCTAGATGCGACCATTAGTGCCTGCAAAGGTTTGATTACGCCTGCAACTGGCATGGCCGTCGCGAATGGTCGAAAATGGCCGCTTTGATAACAAAGTGACTGTATTGGCTCATCATATCGCTGCTCAATTTTTCAGTCGCGCTACTATACAGGCGTGAAGCTTTGAACCAGTCGCATACGCAGTAATAGGATGTCTGCTCATTTTACGGGGCGAAACGTCCTCGTTTGATAATAGACTGCTGTTTCTCAAAGCACGCTTATCTTCGAAGTTCAATAACTGTATGATTTTATGGTGAACATAACGTAGCGCGGCGTTTTGTCAGCCCGTAAAAGAAGAAAAGATAGCAAGCTTTAAACTATTCAGAGTTTCAACGATGAACACATCACTCACAAGCTCGTACTGTGGTGCCTCCTATCTGGTGAGCTTCCCGTCAATTGTGGGCTTTTGTACATGGGGCACAACATAGAAAAAATAAAGAAAATAATCATTTTTCTGAGTGATAAGTTCTCCTAGTAGCCAACACGCAAAGATGCTTCATACAATGAAAAAATGAAGATACCTGGCATGATCTACGTAGGTTGTGCCAGTTAACGAGTTAAAGTAATGCACAGGTGCCGAATGAAGTTGGTGAAAGAAATCTCGTTATATACTTGGTATATATACTAAGAATCACTTGTATCGGCTTGATGATAACTTTATTTTCAGTTCACCAACAACGTGCAGGCATGGTCAGGCACAGGCAAAACTCTCCAGATAAAGAAAACGCTGAAGTGTCTAAGAGAACATAGAGAAGAATAACACATAAGCCCTTCGCGACATAACGTAGATTCGAACAAATAGGCAAAATGCCTATGAGTTCACAGTTTCTGAATATGTAGCGAAATCGACGTGGCACATCGCGAATGAAAAATCACAAAGTCATTATTTCTTAATATTGATGTACCAGAGATCACAGAATATACCAACTATGACAGACTTCTTGTACAGTAGAAAAAAAGAAATTTATGTAAGGACGTGCATCCAATATTTACAGAGGGGGGTGGGGGGGAAGGGGCTCCAATATAAATACATGGGGCAGTGGCGTGGGAACTTTTGGCTTCCCTTTACGTGACAAGCTGAATGTTTCCAGCAATGTACTACTTCACCCTGTTCCTAACAACTGAGGTAAACGACATCACAAGACTCATGAACCGCATTCAGTTCGACAAAACTGAATGGAATGGGACTCATCGTATGCATACTAAGAAGGATAGACATGCGCCTTATAGGTCAGCGTCCACCAATTTATTGTGGGCGCGGTCACAGTTTTTGTGGAGCCATGGCCGACTGAATGAGGTGTCTACATCTCCGCCACTTTTTTTAGCTTCCAAAAACTTTGAGTTAGTGATATGGGCAATATCCAAGAAATTACGATAGCCACGCACTTCTCTCTGTTTCTCTCCTTTCGTTGCGGCGGCAGGAAACGCGTGCAGAGTGGCTAACGCCGACAATACGACTGTATCTCTCGTTGGCGCTATTCCAAGATGAGCGGCTGCACTTCCGGCAATTCATAAGGTGGTCGCCCGGCCACAACAAGTGGTTCTTTTCTCTAAGATACGCTTTTTGTCGCTCGCGCATAATGGCTCCTAATGACAGGTAGTGCGAGGCAAATACTAAGGTGCTTCCGAAGGAGCTGCGCTGTGTTTATATGCGGGTAGTTTCATACTGTCGCGCTCTTGAACCTGAGGCTAACGCGTGACTATGAAACGGATGTTTCTCGAAAGGCGAGTTAGGCACATCGAACATGTTCATTGTTCTTGAGGACGATATTCCTGTAAGGGTTGAAGGGTTGTTGGTATACAATGTAGCAGTTGGACGAGTTGAGGTAATGCTTCATAAGGAGTGCATAGATCATCTTCGAGGATGCTTTCTGCAGATTCTTCCTTTCGGTGATAGCAAAATGGTGGTCGCCAACCAGCCACGTTATCACACTTTATTTTCTTTCTTCCACTCGAATTTGGTCAACTCATTATCACAACGTGGCTCGACTGGAAGGCGAAGAAGAACAGCGTCGACTAGTCACGCAGGTGGTTGAAACGTTCGACCTTTAGTTTGTGGCTGAAATAAAAGTCTGCTTCTACTACTACTACTACTACTACTACTACTACTACTACTACTACTACTACTACTACTACTAGTGAAAGTAACAGCGCTGTTATTGGCTGAGCATTCTATTTTGAACGTTTTTCTCACTCATGTGTTTCCTTTTACAGTGTGTTCCTTCCACACCAGGAAAACCGCCAGAAAGTGAAGCTATAGTAAGCGTGCGACTGTCCGTGATTGGTTAGCGAGATCACTTGCATCGTCATCACGATCGTTTCGTTTTACATATTTCCTTAGTCAGTATACACCTCTAGTCACTTAACCTGCGTGACGTAAGGTACTACTACTACTACTACTACTACTACTACTACTACTTCGACAACGACGACGATGACACGCAGCAAAATAAGACAGCGCCGCTGCAAAAGGCAAAAAAAAAGAAGACCAATGCATCTGTCAAGTTTTGATACTACGTTTTTACAATAACACGATAGGTCGTCTGATCACGATATAGATATTTACCCGCTGCTGCAAGGTGTCAAACATCGACTTCTAATTGTCATGGCTACACATGTCAGTTGTGGAGTATCTTTTAATAGCTGCGACGTGGCCGGCTACTTTAGATTGAGATAATATCGACGTGGCCTAATATAGTACACTCTGTTAAAGGATAAGCAGAATGAAGCAAATAACAGTACCAATGTACCACTTCAGGGGACACACTTCTCACAAGTTCTCCTCAGACAGCTCCGTGTCCACCTCGCATGCGGTCATACTTTGTGGTGTCACTATTTAATAAAGATTAATTATCGTCAATGTTGCCGATGGTCTCGTCCAAGAGGAAATATGTTTGTAAAGCGGTTTAAAGAGGCAGTAAACCTACTTTGAAAAAACAAACAAAAAGAACAAAAAGTAAGGCATATTTGTCAAATCATCGCAAAAGATATCGTCTTATCCTGTAAAAATGACAGCTAGTTATGCTTACCAAGCGTTATTGGTCTCCTGTGCATTCCAAACGAGTTGTTTCCGAACGAACGCCACGTGCGTATAACGCCTGCCTTATGCTTGAGCTGTGCGGTTCATGGCCTCATAGATATGAGAGTACGCAAACCTCACACGTCATATCGAAGGCCATGCGCACGCTATTGGACTCACGAACGTGGCACATGCCTGGGCTGTAGAAACTCATCGACGTGCGTGAGATATCAACGAAGCTAGTATTCCGCTTGATTTGGATGCGTTTGAGTGGATTCAAAAGTAGAGCGAAGCGTGAACTGCCATTTCTGCATGTCCTCTCTACTGAGATTCACAGTAATTGCTGAAGTTTAACGTCCCGAAACCACGATATGGTTACGAAGGACACCATAGAGGAAAGCTTTGGAAATTTCCACTACTTGGGGCTCAATAACGTGCACATAAATCCAAGTACACGGCCTCGAGCATTCTCACTTTTATCACAAATGCAGCCGTGGTGGCCGCAATTCGATCCCTGTATCCCTCCGTGAGAAATCGGGCACCATGACCACTAAATTATCATGGCACGTTGTATTGAGATTCAAGCTATCGTCTCGAATACCAGTAGACTTGAGTCCCAGTAGGACATCAAACTCCAACTGCATCACCAAGTCTCTGTTGAATCGTTTAAGAGAAACCTAATATAAAGACAAGGTCATCGTGCCACGTAATAAATCCCCATTCAGGGCCACTACTGACAAAGTGACCTTTCTTTTTTCTTGCAGACGTTGCTGCGCGTATGCTTTTATAGGCAACCTAGCAGCGTAATCGATAGCAGTAAAATTACAATAGGGTTCGCTACGCAAACATCGGTTTAGACGAAGGTGTCACCAGTTCTATTATACCTCTTGCTTCGTGATTTCTTTAACAATAAACTCTACACATGAAGTTACCAGCGAGACTAATCACTAGCGTTGCTAAACTCGCGTTGATGGTCAATTCGTTCAGATGCACAAACTACAACCGTCGTTTTGTCGTATCTCACTAGGTATAAATCACGTTGTATATAGTTGCAGAGCGAACGAACTTGTACCAACGGGAAGAACGCAAAACACGGTTTCGCTTGTCTTGCATCTGATTACTGGCGAGACAAATTATGGCGACGAAAGACAACTGACATGTGGAAAGCCAAAGAAGGACAGTCTCTTCTGCGCGTGTTTTCGTTTCACTTTCTTGGAGGGGGTTTTGTGTTTCGTTGCGTAAACGTACCAGTTCGCTGATGCAAAGCAGGCTAGCTTAGCCTCTGCTGCTTCCCTTGCATCTGGTCAGAACAGAGCCACCGCTGCTGATCAGTCATAAACTGCAATTCTCGCTGTTTTGTGGGCATTGGGCCTAAAGAGAGAGATATGAAAAGAAAACGCGGGGACTTACTTGGTGGGTATTGTCACAGCAGGAAGGGTTTTTAATTAAAAAATCACGATGCCTTGGCTGCTGCGTGAGGTAGATTCGGCAAAATGAAGAACAGATGACGACAAGCACTTATTTTCTTTTAAACATAGAAATGTTTTTTGCCGCGAACATCCAAGACGTCACTTCTGGCACGGAAAAGACGTTGTCAAAATGTGCACGATAAGATGACAAATAAAAGTAAGAAGAAAAATTTTGTTTAATTGGATGACCTGGAAGTTGAACCTAGCCCCTTTCAGCCCGTGTCGAAAGGTGCCGGAGGCTTTAACGACTGTGCTATACCGACGCACACGCACGATGATTCGCAAACGTGTCTTACACCTCTCACACATTTCTCATTCGCAGTGATCTTGGTTGGCGGAGTCGGAGTCACCCTTTGGATGTGGTGTAATTTTCTTTATTTGTAAATAATTATTTTTACTTGGCAGGTATCGTGTGACGCCTCGCCACCATTGTAGTGCAACCAGCACTAGCATTAGCGTTATTTCTCCGCGTCTACTGCTTTGAGTGTGTAGGCAGGGTACGAATCCCGACTGCGGCGGCTGCATTTTCGATGGAGGCGAAAATGCTGTAGGCCCGTGGGCTCAGATTTGGGTGTACGTTAAAGAACCCCTGGTGGTCAAAATTTTCGGAGCCCTCCACTACGGCGTCTCTCATAATCATATGATGGTTTTGGGACGTTAAACCCCACAAATCAGTCAGTGTGATAGCGCGTACTGCTGCAATAGGGGGCACAGAAAGGCAACAACGTTGATAGGTGAATGCCGAGTGGGAATGCTTTGGTGCGAAGAAAGACACGCCAGAGAGAAATGGAAAGCCTTCTCACTTCGACGGCTAGAGCTACGAATTTAGCCTCTCGGGTTCCCGATGCGATATCTGGCATATGCATGAGCACAGGCGTATACAGGTTACCTTAATCTCTGGGGAGCGCATATACTTTGTCCTTTCGTTCGTCAAATGACGACTCTTTGAATTCGTTCATATCAGTTACCGGTGTATGTCATTTTCGCGTGGGACTCACCATAATATGTGCGCAGACATATGTTAGCTACTTCAGCTGCTACAAGGGTTAAGTCATACCATAGACGTTAGACATTGGGATGGATATGAACTACTAGACATCAATATGGCTACACCACGTCAAACAGCGCATTAGCTGTCAAACACCAATACACGTGTGCAAACTTTCATACATGAGTGTACAAAAAACAATAAGCTACTCCTTTGATAACATGGTTCACTTCCGTGTTATACCGATTTATATGACACAAGGAACAACCACGCTCTTTTTTTCTCCCATCTTGTAAAATTGTGCCAGTTAGTACTGCGAAAAACCTACTAACCAATTCTGTTTCCCTAATATGCTTCACAGTGTGCCGAAGCAAGGTGTATCAAAATTTTCGCTAGAGAAGCCTGCTGCCCTCAATGAAGGTGACCTTAAAACTGTCGGAAAGAAAGCAGCCTGTACACTGCAGCTAAACGCCGTCAGATGATCGATGAGCGGCCTCTTCTTCGCATACGAACGAGACGAAAAACGCGTGTTGAATAAACGCAACAGGAGAAAAAGCACGTAAGCTTGCCCCAACGAAGATCAGCAAGGATTACAGCAACAAGAATACAAACGTGACGCCTTTCGTGACGTGGCGTCTTTCTCAACGTTAATCGCCACTATAACTCCTGCACGTGTTCGTATAAATAGATGTGCGCTAGGTTATGCATGTGCGGCCCTGAGAGCAGCGAAAACACGTGAAATTACGGCTGTCTGTAGGTTCAGGGACAACGCACCCCAAAACACGGCTAAGGGACTGCAAATAAACGCCGGTACCAACCAACACACCTGCCCTTAAAGTGGTCATTTGCGTGACTGGCTGTCAGCTTTACCCTCCTCTTTTCCTCGTTCTCCTGGAGTGGCACCAACCGGAGATGAAAACCAAAACGATACTCAGGTTTCCTCGTGTATGCCAGCGAAGGAAGTTCGCGTTCAAGGTTGGACTGGCTTTCACTGGAACCGCGACAACCCGTTTGCAGCATAACTCGGTTATTCCGTTCCCCCTTCAACTCCCTTTCCATGTCCATTTCTTCTTCGCGTGAAGAAGAGATAGACACGGTGCTTGTATACCTTTAACTGCACGCCCGAAGTGCTTTGCCTGTGCAGTGTTGTCTTTGAGCTTTCAGTCGTGCAGTCAAGATTACGGAGATGGCTGGAGTGTATACGAAGAAACACGTGGAGGACGTGTTTGACACGTCGGAAGAAGCGCTCCCTTTCAGGCTCCAGCAGATCGCCGAAGACGAGCTCGGAGAGACTCCAGCTCGTAGGAAGGAGTCTCTCGCGAAACTTCTGCAGCTGTTATCAGGTGAGATAAGATGAGATTTCTTGGGTGAAGTTGCGTTTTTAGGACGGCGTGATGCCACGGCGCAGAGAAAGCGTCGGAAGGTACCATAAGCGAGTATACATTGGCTTGAACCTCTGCTGCCATGAAGTTTTGAGGTCTTGGAATTCGTAGAATTATAAACGAAGGTCAGTGGATGTCAACTGCGAGCTATACATGTTGAATGATGCCCAATATTGTATAGTTAGTTTTGAAGCTTCACAGTACAAAGTTTTGCCGCCAGGGCTTGTCATGCATGTAAACGACCCTCCGCGATTTCCCTTAGCGAAGTTACTGCAAGTGTTTTAATTTTTTTGCTTTTCACTGATCTTGGGATAACGAAGCGTAGCGGAAACGAGGCAATTGGCTGCATTGGAAATTCGCGTTTCTAGACTTATAGCGTTCTGGTAATGAAGCAGACACGCCCACTCTGCAGCAAGACTGATGAAGCAATATAATTACGCCTAAATTCGCGGAACCATCATGCTCAGTCCGTAGCTACTTGGGAGACGTGCTTCGTTCTTCAAGGTGTTAACAGGTCTGGCTTATGAATATTTGTCAAAGTATTTCCATGAGCGCTTTTTGAGCCTGATAGGGGGAAGGGAATTTCTTCAGATGTCGCAGGTTGTTTTGATTCATAAAAGTGTGTTGAAAAAATATTGTTTTTAACAAGCAACCATATGATGCAGTATCGAACAGATTTTCGGGCACCAGTAAGTACATCATTACATGATTACACTTACTCTTTGGCAGAGGAGGAAAACTTGAACTCCCGAAAAGACGCCCAGTTCCTTCTACGCTTCCTTCGAGTGCGGAAGTACGACGTGGAGGCAGCCCTGCGCACTGTGAAGAACTACTACAAGATTCGAAATACGAGCGGACCGGTGTTTCGTGACTTCCTGCCTTCCAAGGTGTCACCAGCCACGAGAAAACTCATGATGATCATCAAAGAGAAGGACGCTCACGGACGTCGAATCTTCTACTTCAAACCCGGTGTGTGTATCTTCTTAGAAATCTGTGTCAGATTTTATACGTCAGGCGCACTGACAAGTCAATCGCTGCCTGTCAAATGACTTTGGTTGTTGCTTTGTGGCTTGATGGAGTAGTTACTGTTAGGAAGAAAAAGTTGAGATATTGTTCATTGCACACATGAAAGTACATCTCAGTGCCACCTGAGATATAGTAAGGTTTTAAGAGATATGACCAATAAGTACATACAAAGGTTACTTGGTACACTTGGTACATACAGAGATCCAATGCGAATTTCAGCTCTTGACCACCAAAAAGCGTAGGCAGTGCCACCCGTCCGCTGAAGTAAACACACATATACTAACGCTCTTAATAATATAATAGTTTCGTCGACGTTGAGTTGCTTAGAAATATGTCCCAAATCGGCACTCAGAGGGCCTCGAAGAATGCCTTAGTTCAGAGAATATCTGAGAGGCATTACTGAAATGCTTGATTGATTGATTGATTGATTGATTGATTGATATGTGGGGTTTAATGTCCCAAAGTGCAGTGGATGATGAAGTCGTGGGCATACTCTGCTCTCCGCTTCAAGTTTCAAATATAGTGAAAGGGGCTGAGCGGGCAAACGTTTATAAATATCGAACAATAAAGAACAACAACAAAAACTCTTCCTCTCTATGCATGGGAATCTGATGCACGCGATTGCACGCACGTGTCCTATCGCAAGCAAGTGTCATAACGGCACAAATATTAGCATTTTAAAATTGAAATAGACAAATTATCATTTGATTACAGCGTTTATGATAAGTTGCAGGACTGTTTATATAGTGGTTTAGAGTTCCCAGTTGAATTACCAAGAGTGAAGCTCCTTAGGGCCACACCCCGCCGCCCCCCCGCCGTCAACATCGAAGCTCCCCGCCTTATCACCGCTCGCACCCCTCTCTCACTTGTTACCATCTTTCCTCGTCTCGGCCCTTTCCGCTCAAGCCGGCGAACGCGCGCAACCATCGATTTGCCCTGTCGTGTTTAACCCCGTTGCAATTTCGGGGTGCTACTCCGCCAAGTAGGTTGGTTCGTAGCCTGGGCTGGCTCGCGCTGCATTGCGTGTGGCGCACACACAATCCACTCAGTCGTTCCCCCCACCGAGCGCAGCACACGCTCATCCCACCCGCTCCTCATCATACCGCTTTCATTAAAAACCTGCAGTAAGATCAGGCGCATATCCATTTGCGTCTCAGCACACGCTCATCCCACCCGCTCCTCACCATACCGCTTTCATTAAAAACCTGCAGTGAGATCAGGTGCACATTCATTTGCGTCTCATTTCTAAGCAGCTTCGCTTATCGGTTGTATTCGTGCACGGAACGACTGATAGTTCTTCAACGACAAAACATATACTAAATTATTTTACATGGATATATCATATATGTTCATTTATGTGGATTTTAAGGTGGCAGTTGATTGAAACAAGTCAGACTAGATTTGGCGCAGCTTTTTGCAAGACGATTCAGTAATCTTGGTAATCTGCTATAGTGAAGCATGTTAACCTATATCCTATGCGCGTGTTGACCGCAGTGGACACTCGACCAGATTATACCGATGCGTTTATTGCCCGCCGGCAATGCCAGTATAATATACCATGTCTTGCATCAACGCGTTAATAGTACGTTACATCAGAAATAAAAATTTTTGCATGTCTCTGTAGTGTGCGCTTGTATTTCAATGGGAACTATAAGTTATCTCTGTCGCACTTAGTAGCTTGTGCATTTGGTTGCCATCATTCAGTAGTCGTAGTTCACGAAAACAACAGAGGCAAGTTCGTGTGCTTGTATGTCGTGGTAGCGTTTCCATCAGGTCACCAGAGTCAAGTGAATTAAACTGAACACATTGTGTCGTCAGCTTCATACATGTTGGAGCTTTTGTTTTTGTTGGTTTTCTCTTCTTAAACTGAATCCTCCAAAGCAGATGTATGTGTCATTTTTTTAAATTTACATATGAAAAGCATGCGAAAGTATAAACTACGTTAAAGCCAGCTTTCTCACCATCATGGTCTTAATAAAAAAAACAAAAACAAAACCCAGAACTACTAAAAAGACTAAGAAATAAGAAAAAGAATCGTAAATGCTATGTACATACCCAATATTTAAAGTATAAAGAATGGGCATGATATAAGGGCAGAGTCTCTTTTATAGAGGAGGGTCCCACAGACTACCACGGCTAGAGAGCGTAAAAATAGCTTTTCATAACATCACTACGACATATGCTAATTAGCAGCACAGTATGGTAAAGAGAAGCGCTAATATTAATTACAGACACTTTTAAAACTTGTGTCCACTAAAAAATCGCGGAGTGTGCTCGCCACTCATCTTGGATTGTCATGTTGTGATACCAGTCAAAGCATATTGCCACTTGTGAGGGGTCGTATATTGAGGCTTTTCAATAGATCACTTGGATGAAGGCACTGTTTTCGGTATCGCGGATATTGTGAAATGACATGCTCCCCTGACGCATTGCGATCAGCCCAGTGGTCGCACTGAGGGGACGTTTTTCTTTTTTTTTTAATTCGAAAGTCTGCCCCTAGGCATAATAATTTTGATTCAAAAATACACATACAAGTTTTCTTCGCGTATAAAGTCTAGTAGAGGTCCACGACTTTTGATGCGGCACAAGAAGTGAGGCAATCTATTCAGCATCTAATCTTATATTCGGTCGTAATCGTTGTACAAATGCGATATATAACAAGGAATAAAAGATACTTCTATATTGACGCACAACGCTCGCATTGCCGTCTTTCCCGGGATGTCCCTGCATCAACGTGGCACTGTCCGGTGGGCATCCGGTGACTAGATATCTCGAACATTGTCATCGCTTGTAAACACTCTAGACTCCAATATAGATCAAAACTGCGCGAGATGGCGGTTGGGGCAGGTGCGGCGTATGAACCTAAATGTTACGATGAGACGGGAAGTTGTATAGCATAAGAATAAGGAGAGTTGTAAGCGCATTGTTTTAGTTGCCCAAATAAAACTGAGTTTATCACCTCACAAACTTGGTTTTACATTCGTCGCAGTCATGTGCGCCGGGTCTGCGTATTTTTGAACCCTATTCTCAATGTCATTAGGGGCCGAAAAATAATTGTTACCGTAAGTCCGATATTCTGCCTCTTTATACCATGAGCGAGGGGTGTTCTGGCGCATGTACCACCTAGTTTTACCTAACACAACCTGACTTGCCCTACCCTAAACCGTCTTGCGGAATTGGAATTTACTGATAAGCAGCATCCGTATAGTCCCCATGCCAATAGAAAAGGAGCATTTCAAGAATACTAAGTCAAACAGGGTATCATATCAAAATGCCCCTCTACAACCTCGTAGATCAACAGGGCTTATGACATATGTATCACGTGTCTTTTGACGTCGGAGAGCTACGAATCTGTAGTACCAGTTTTATTCGTTTTTCGAACTATCAAAATTTGAAATAAATAGGCGGTCGTGTAGTGCAATGAATGCTTCGAGCATGAAATTTTACTAAAATAATGTTTGCCTTTTCTAAAATAAGTTGGTCTTTCACATGCCATTTCCCAGGAATGTGGGTGCTCAACGAATCATCCTACGTAGATGTGCATCGGGCAATGATGGTGTGCTTGGAATACCTGGCCAAGGATCCGACAACACAAACACTAGGTGTGGTGCTACTGTTCGATTACGGTGGATTTACAGCAGACAAAGTGCTCGCCGTCAATGTGGGTCTTATAAGAAGAGCATTTGAGTACCTTCAGGTAAGCCTTGTTGACTTATGAAGCTAGAATATGGCGTTTGTCAACGCTAGAAACGTCTGAAAGTGAGCAAAGTGATTATTTTAATTGTCGAAAACTAAGTGTTCTCTAATTTAAATTCTTATTTTAAACATGAGACGAAAATTGGTTGTCAAATTTTGTATGTAAGTCGCTCCTTGCTGCGTGCAACACTTACTGAACATTTAAATCACATGAATTGGGAGTGCTGATGTAAGCTGAAAACGAGTAAAAAGTGTTGCATTCTGGTATTGAGAGTAATATTTTGCTCGATGGCGATACGTTGAAGCATTCGAGGCTTTGAACCTCTTTTCATGACGTATTGAAGGACACTGCTGCAAGATCGTGCGTCTTATTTTATTTTTAGGACTGTATGCCTATGCGGCTTAAGGCCGCGTACTCCGTGAAGCAAGGGCTAGCTTTCGACACCTTCTTCACGATGATCCGGCCTTTCTTGAAAGCGAAGCTCGTGCAAAGGGTGAGAGTGTCAGTCGATCTAAAATAATGAATGACTTGCCATTAGCTCTAAAAATCAGAAAAATTGTTGTATGTATGTATGTATGTATGTATTGTTGTTGTTGTTGTTGTTTTAACTGTTTTGCTGTGGAGAGGTTGAGGAGCCTATTGCCTCGGCTACTCCATATCACAGAGTTCTGCAGCGAAAAATAAAAAAATAATACAGAACGGTACCCAAAAATTAACAATACGGAAAAGGAAAAAAAACACATAATAGCACACTGAAACCAGTTCAAATAACATGTCAATACACAGTTTTCTTCACGCAGTTCACACAGTCATAAACTTCTTTCACGCACACCTTACTACTTAATGCCAGTATATACATGACCACCCTTTACATAATACTCATTTCTGGCTGTCAGTCATAGGCGCTTGTCCAGTCCGGTCTCCACTAAAAAGTCTGTCAGGAAGATTATTGCCTTTTTCTGAAGATGCATCTCAGGCCATGGTCCAAGTAGTTTCTTTATTGTGAGGGGCCGTCTGTCCAAACTTGCTAATTTGTTCCTTAATTTTTCTCTTTCTTTCGCGTATTTAATGCACTCCAAAAGAATATGGCGAACATTTTCTTCTGCATGACCACAATGGCATTCCGGTGAGTTGGATCGATGTATCTTGTGCAGGAAGCTGTTTGTGTATGCTACTTCCAATCTAAGTCGGTGGATCAATGTCTCTAGGTGTCGTGGAAGGTCTGTCGCTATGGAAAATTTTCTGTGTGGATCAACTTCATAAAGTACCGTTTCCTTTGATTTAGGGCTCTCAAACCACTTCTCCATCGAACAATGGTTAGCTCCTTGCGATATAAAATGTCGAATATCCGTCCCAGATATAGGGATTGTGCAATCCCGTCCTTCCTTCAATGCTTTCTTCGCGAGACTATCAGCATCTTCATTTCCCTTTATTCCAATGTGGCTGGGTATCCATTGGAATACGATGTTGTGACCCTGCGATGAGGCATATTCCACAGTTTCTGCGATACATTGTGGTATTTCACCATTTCTGTAAGGTGATCTCACATTTCTGATTAGCTGAAGAGCAGGTTTGCTATCAGTGCATATCACCCATTTTCGTGGATCTGGATTCTCGCAGATAAGCTTAACTGCTTCAAAGATAGCCACCAATTCTGCTGTCGTCGATGAAGATTTGTGCGATAATTTGTACATCTTCTTTTCCTGAATTTCGGGTATAAAGACCGCACAGGCTGACGCTTCTTCTGTGCATGATCCATCTGTATATATCTTCGTTTTTTCATTATGCATTACATGAAGCTGATGAAGTACCAACTGTGCCGCTACTAGAGGTGCCATGGCTGCTTTCTTCTCTATGCCGTCTATTTCACGGATAACTGTTGAGAAGTGGCAGCGTCCAAGGTGGTTTTGAAGGTTTCCATTGTTTAAATTCTGGTACTACTGCTTGAAATGATGATATAGTATCCTGTAGTCTCGTTGCCGTTCTTTGTGTTAGTGCACCAGATAAAAAATGACTTTCATGTTGCGTGAAAATTCTAAATAAATTTCGAGATGTTTCTTTAGTTCGCAGTACTGCCAAAGGTGGCTCTCGAGCCTCCGCATACACTAAATCACTGGAAGTTGACCGTGGTAAACCCAGACATACCCTCAAGCTCCTTGCCAATAACAAGTGCAGTCTCCTTTCGGTGGAGGCTGGGAGTCCGTGCAGCAGGGGCAGTGAGTAAGTTACGATGGGGCGTATCCAGGCAACATGTAGGGCTAATAACGACTCTGTAGTACCACCCCATTTGGCCCCGCAGAGATGCCGGAGGATTCGAATGGCCTGATTCACTTTTTGTTCCAGGGACTGGACATGAGGCGACCATGTTAGTCTCCGGTCTAAAATTACTCCCAAGAATTTATGAGTTTTGACCATTTTAATAGGCTGATTTTGCAGAATAATCTGGAAATTTCCAGGTCTCTTTAATGTAAACGGAAGTATGGCTGTTTTGGCCAGACTCAGTGCCATACCTCTTTGTTTTAGAAAATGGTCTACATTATCCAATCCTTCTTGTAGAGTTTGTTGTATATCCAAAAACGATGGACCAGACGTCCATATACTTATATCATCAGCATATACTGAACATCTGATGTTGGGTGGAAGATTATACGGGAGCTGCGCCATGACTGCATTAAAGAGAGTAGGGCTTAGTACGCTGCCCTGTGGCACTCCTTGGTTGACGACATGTTCTGACGTTGGGCCCTCCTGCGTAACTACAAAAATTTTCCGGTGCTTCAGGAAGTCAGCGATCCAACGCAGTATCTTGCCCTTGAATCCCTGTAACGCCAGGCCTTCCAGAACGTGAACGTGACTCACTGTGTCGTATGCTCGGTGGACATCAAGGAATACAGCGACAGTGATGTTTCCTTGCGTTCGTTGGTTTTCCACATCTGTGACCAAATCCAGAATGCAGTCCATTGTGCATCTACCTCTTCTGAAGCCGGCTATGCTTTCTGGTAGTAGTTTTTTCATGTCTTGCCACCATAAAATTCGTTCATTGATCATTTTTTCCATCACTTTTGAAAAACAACTTGTCAAACTAACCGGCCTAAACGAGTCCAACTGCATAGGGCTCTTCCCTGGCTTTAGCAACGGTACTACTTTTGATATCTTCCAACTTTCCGGAACTTTTTCTTCTTGCCAAATTTTATTATAGATGTCCAACAGGTGTAATTTTCCTTTTTTGCACAAATTAGCAAGAGCAGCGTATGTAACTCCATCTGTTCCTGGTGAACTTGTTCGTTTTACTGAAGACAACACATATTGGAGCTCCTCTGGTGTGAAGCTGTCATCCAGATCTGATGAACTGATCGCAGAGGACTTTGTTACAACCGCCGAAGCTGATTCTGCTGAGGATTTATATTCGCTCGTTTGGGCGGTCTCTCCATTTCTCAGTATAAGATCGCAAAATTCTTCGGCAATCACCCGTTCGCTAACTCCTCGAGACAGCGCTAGAGCCTGTAGTGGTCTCGAGTGGACTACTGGCTGTCGGAGGGCGCGTACCATGTTCCACAGTTGAGTCGCCGAGGTAAATGGGGAAAGTGAGGCACATAAATCTTGCCACCTTTTGGTTGAAAGCTTCTGCAGTTGGTTACGCATTGTAGTGTGTACTTTCTGTGCAACCTTGAAGTCTTCTAAATTACCTGACCTGCGATATCTTCTTTCAGATCGGCGTCGTATTGCCCGAAGCCTCTCATACTCAGCGTCAACACCCGAATACCCATCTGGAATGGGTACTGTACGAGTTGCTTTTGTTAGAAATTTTTTATCTTAGATGCATACGTTTCTGCGTCAGAACAGGGTTCAAGATTTTGTCTCTGTAGTTCTCGAAAGATTGCCCAGTTTGTGATTCTTGTTGTGCGGTTATTTCTTGTTTTCTTCAACTTTGGGTGATATATGAATACTGGCAAGTGGTCACTTCCTCTTGTGTCAGCGTCTGCAGTCCAGTCTGCTCCAGCCGCTAATTCAGAGGAGCACACAGTAATGTCTAGTACGCTGCAGTAGTTATGCCCCCGTAGAAACGTTGGAGAACCATCATTTAGTATAGTGTAACCATAATCTTCGCATATTTTTACTATAGCAGATCCCCTTACACTACAACGCTCACTACCCCACAATTCATGGTGCGCGTTAAAATCACCACATATAATTATGGGATCATGGTCAGATCTACACACTGCAGCCAACTCTGCGTATGAAACGTTTGCTTGAGGGTGCACGTAAACACTAACTACAGTTACAGTAACGTTACCAAACTTCACTTTGCATCTAACAAATTCCGGCGCATCTGTTTTTGAAGTAGCCACAAGTGTCGACGGAATATCGCGTCTCACACACAACATCACTCTGCTTTTTGCAGCAGGACGGTCTGCTTGGTACACCACATAATTGGACAAGCGAAAGTTAGTGGATACTCTTGTTTCGGAAATACACAAAATCGGAAACCCGTGCTGAGCGACGAATTTCCGAAAATCTCCACTCTTATTCTGCAAACCGTTGCAGTTCCACTGGAATATTGCACTTCTTTTGTACCAGTTAGATAGTCCGGTAGCCATGATTACGACAAGAGAAGATGCTCAACATCTAGCAGCAATTTCACTTCTGGTAAAGAGCCTGCTTGTGGCAGGGATCGTAGAATTGCTTTGAGAGCCGCAAAGATTATTGGCAAAATGACTTGCTCGCTTCCGGCTGTCTCCGCCGAGATCGCATTTCTCGAAGAAGTTTTACTCAGCAAGCTGCTGTGACCCTTCCCTTTGGTAGTCAGTGGCTCTTTGGCTGTGTCTGGCCTGGTAGAAAGTTCCACTTCAGCATGTTCCTGGGCCCGGACTTCTTTTCCAACGCGATGTTTTGGTGCTGAGCGCTTCAATACTTCCGAGTAAGAGTCGTGGCGCCACTGTTTTGCACTTCTTTGTGCCGCAGGAACATCTTCGACTATATCCGCATTGGGTGCTGGACCTTTTTGTATCTTATGGTACCCTTTTACAATTCTCTCTCTTTGTGCCGCTGATGCCAAACGGTTTCGAGAGCAGCCTGAGAACGACGCCGGATGTGGTCCAGCACAGTTTGCACACTTAGGTTGACGCTTCGAGGTGCATTCTTTGTAATCATGTGCGCCCGCACATACCTTGCATCTCTTGGTTCCCCTGCAAGTCTTAGCCTTATGCCCATATCTCTGGCAGTTGTAACACCTTACCGCCGGCTCAATGTATTCCTCGACAGTGTGAACCGTAAAGCCGAGAGCAACTCTTTTTGGCAATGGCATGTCATGTCTAAACTGGAGTATTACATTTCGTATGGGCTGCATTGTGACACTTCCATCTTCATTTCTAACCCATCTCTTTTGTCGTGTGACGGAGATTACTCCAGCATCTTTAAGATAATCCAGTAGGTCATAATCACTGTATTCGAGTGGAACATCTCTTATCTTTGCTAGGGTCTTCATGTAAGACTGAG